GTCTTAATTTTTAGTCTTTTAGTCTTGATTGGAATTCTTTGAGTTTGTCAATTCTTATTTCCTATCCAGTTTAGCTTTCCTAATTGTGCATTTTCTGTTTTTCTCCTTGGACTCTTGGTTGGAAGTTGCATCAAACTTTTGCAAAAGGAGCAAACATGGACTAAGAAAACCTAGAGGAAGGACAAGAATTCTAAGGCTAGGTGGTTTTGGAAATCATTCAACATTTTCCTTCTTAAAACTCCTAAACAACTTTCACAAGAATGATCAATCCTTGTTCATTGTGAGGTGGCCTTTAACTTCCAGATTTAGTTTGTTCTTTGTGCAGGTCAAGAACTCCAAGAGGAGCACAAATTGGAATTGGATTGAAATTCAAATTGGTTGTTGATACAAAGAGTAGGAGAAGTGATGAACTAGCTCCTCCTAAGCTCCTCCTAAGCACGGATCCTCTTCAATGGAGATGGAACTAAGTTGTTGAACTCCTTGGACGAAGTTCTCCAGCTGAAGACAAGGTCAAGACCTTGAAGGAAGTATCCAAGCTCAAGCCTCAAGGGATTGCACACTTCAAAGTGTAGGAAACTAGGGTTTTCCTAAGAAACTATGAAGGCACTCTCTATAGCTCTCTCTTGGGGATTTCGGTGACTTTAGAATTGGCTGAAGTAAATTCAGATTATCATATATTCAAAAGTGTTTACAATAGGTGGGAAAAGATACACTTATAGGAAGAAACTAGGTTAACTTTGGGCGGCAATTTCAAACCAATCAAATTGGCGCCTAGTTTGAATTTCAAATTTGAATTTGAAATTCAAACTTTGGCTTCCAACGTGACTAATTCAGATGCTACCCTCATTTAGGAGTCATTTAGAAGTGATTTGAGTTGCATTTGAAGCTCACATGGCCGGAACCACTCCATGCCATCCATGTGACTCAAATTCAACTCAAATTACTTCTAAATGATGCATAAATGAAGCCTAATTTTCCTATTAATGTATTCTTCATATAACCCTAATCTAATGACCGAAATACATTGGTCTAATGAATACAATGAATAGGAAAAAATATAAGAAGAAGAATGAGCCCAATATTGGGTATCAAAAGCCCAAAGCTCAAGAAGCCCAAAATTAAGCCCAAGACACCTAAACCCTAATCTATGGTCAAAATACAAGACCAACA